TATGCCCATTAATCCTCATTAAGGGGGATTACGCACATTTAACACTCTCACCTAGAGAGACCCAATTACTTTTATTTCCGCATTAATTACTCCTTAATCAAGTACTAACTTGACTGTCGGAGGCGGATCTCCAATCGTCCGGAGCATCCGTTTGTTTTGCAGGTACAGGCGTCCGGTTCCAGTCTCAGAATTGTAACTCTCCCACAGGACATCAGAAAACCCCGAAACAGTTATAATGAACCTTTATATCAATATGTATCTAACAACATATTTTATGTTAAATTAATATGTTATTATTATGTTAATAAAAAACTAAAGTCGAAGCTAACACTACGTAGTGTCGTAGTCTACATATACGAATATGGAAAAAAAAATCCAACCTATCAATTATTTGGGACGGAGAGAATAATCACACAAACCCAACAATTTCATATATACACCTTGCATTTTTTGGGCCATGGGCTGTAGACCCAACCCTAGATCCGTCATTGTCGGTGAGACCAATACGGTGTAACTTGTCATACTGTTAAATGTTAATTGGTGACTTATCATCATATAATAGAGGAGCCACTTTATTTTTATTTCATTATACATAATCCAATTGTAAAAGGTGAAGTGATCTTCATTCTTTAAAATATTGTTAAGGAGATGAATGGTTTGTTCAATTATGATTTGTTACATGTTTCATCCATAAATTAGGTAAAACTGCTGGTAGTACCTAAGAGCCGATATACTTAAAAGAGGGTATTAATTAAACACTCTTAAAACAAAAGTTTTGTAATCTTGCAATGTGGCATGCCTCTTTGAATAACATAGCTAAATTTTTACCCACCCTATAAAACATACAACGAACCATTAATATAGAGAATTATAGAAATAAAACTCTTGCAAATTAAATTAAGTGGGGCTTAATAATATTCTCATCAATCAAGGATATGGAAGTTTTTCTATGTACATATATTTAGAGAGTTCTATTACAAACCAATTAAAGAGGATCACATGGGAAATTATATCATAAAAATGCAAAGAGATATTTAAACAAGCAAATACTCCTATCCATATTGATTTGGACGTTATTTATGACTAAGAGGCTGAAAGTTTTGTCTTTGATATCGTGCTAAGATGTTGGAACATGTCGACAAGAACTTTGAATCTTTGATATACATTTTAGTTTTTTTTTTTTTTTTTTCCTTTTTTTTTGCTTCTTTCTCAATGATATTTTTAGGCCGATATGCTCGGATTATCACATTATTCACATAATCTAATTTGATTATATTTGTGAATATATTGTGATTTATAATAATATAAAATGTAGCATTATTCGTACATCTCAATACTTTATAATACTAATTTTTTACAATACTGGTTTGCTGATAAAGTAATAATCATATAAATTAGTAATCAAATTGTTATACTACGTATATGTTGCAAGACTAACAACTAACTAACCCAAGTCTACAAGTAGTACGTTAAGTATAAAGAAAAACAGAGGAAGTATATAACTATAACCATAGAAGGGTGGATTCATTCTACGTACAAAAGACCTACATGAAGAATAACAACCAACTAACCATTAATACCATGGGCCAAATTAGGGAGGTTTGTGATTTAATTTGCGAAGGCCATTAGCTTCCCCTGTTCTCAATTTCCCTTTATTTCTGAATTAGTGGCAAAACCCTACATGTGATTTTGTTGTACACGCATGAACGCAAAAGAGGAAAGAGGATTAGTTAACCTTTTAGTGGGCTACTTGCCTACTTTACGTCACCTGATGCAGTAATGTTCTATTAGTTTCACAATAAGTTAGAAAGGCCAAATTTACTCAAAATCTCCAATGCAAGCAAGTATGTATGTCCAAAACTCGTCTAGTTATCGATTATCGAAGCTAAGGGCCTATTATGATTTACAGAGCTAAACTGAATATTTTATTAGAAAAGAAATTAGAAACTGAACTAATTGGAACTGAACTGAAATGAAAATAAGCTGAACAGAACATACCCTAAGAAGATTGATTTCTGATTGATAGATCGAGAATATATACAAAATACATCCCATACCTAGTAAGAGAATATTCTAACAAAGTAACTATATTGTTGTTCGATCTTAAGAAGTTGATAGATAGTGAATTGTGCTACATGATTGAAATCTGTCTACATTTCTACAAGAATGATGTAGGATACTAGGATAAACATATATTAGGAACAAAGATATTCCACAAAGTTGATGTTTTGACACTTTACATTAAAACGACATGCCAAATGATGCTAGCTTATTATATTATCAACGCGACATAAGGGATTTCAACTATTTTGGCCATTGGGCTGTCATTGACCAGCAAAGTTGATAACATTATTAGATCACTCGACTGTACATAATTCTAAAATACATTTCTTGTATTTTTATTGGTTTTTTTTTTTCAAAGATGGAAATGTTAGATCGGTACGGATCTTTATATATCAAAAAATCGACTTTCAGCCCTTCATAATTAATACTCTCTTTGTTCTTTTATTAAGAGTATGTATTCTATTTTGAAGTAACCGAGTAACCAACATTAATTAAGAGTCTATTTTTATTTATATGTTTTTTTTTTTTTTTTTTTTTTTACAATATTATTTTTTTTTATAATTTGTCATCTTTTTTCTTTTCTTTTTTATACTTTTGGCATCAGTTTGCAATATTTTTTCTTTCTTTCTCAATTCTCATCAATAATATCTAACTAGTTTTTCTTTCTCTCTATCTCTAATCCCACATGCATATTTGTACTCCCAAATCTTAATCATTAGTTTTGGGGAATCTATAATTTTCTAAATTTCTGTTAAAAAAATTTAGATAGACTCTTAATTTAGTCTTAAGTTAATTTGGTCTATAATACTGCCCTAGGCTCCCTACTCAAAAGTAAAATAAAAAAATCAAGGGGGAGTACATAGTTATTTGAAAAAGAATATATATATAACTTGATTGCAAAATAAGTGAGTAATATTTTTATTTATTTATTTTTTTAAGTAAAGAGAATGATCCTAACTAGAACTCTAAGATTGAAAGTAGTGAGTCACGTTTTACATGGTTATCTTATATTTGTTGCTGAATAGTCATTATTTTTTATGTTTTGCAGTTTGGTAAGCTTTGGTCCACTAATAAATACAAAGATATGGGATATAAATAATTTTTCTCTGAGAACTACACCAATGGTTGTATCTGGGGACTAGCAAATTAGCTTAGAAGTTAATTGTCTCTAATAAAATATTAATTATTTTTTAAAAAAAAATTAAAAAACTAAGACAATTAGCTTAACCATTGTTATATAAACTAGATGTAAGCCCGTGCAATGCACGGTTCTAATAAATTATTTTATTAATTTAAAATTTTGTATATTTATGAAGATCATTCACTAAATATATGGATAAAATTTCTAATATCATAAGATAATTTTTTAATTTTAACGCTAAAGTTATCTTTTGTTGTTTTATTAATTTTATGTGACGCTTGAATTTAAAATCTCAAACCTTATTCACTAATTTTGCTTATGTGATGATTGAAATTTTTAATTCATAAAATAAATGACAAATCTAGTTTTTTTTATTGATCAAAATAAGTCTTTTGTCTATGTGTTTATTTAATATACTTGTTCTGTTTAAAATGGTAGTCTCATTTATAATCTTTTAACTATTAAAAATTATGGGAAATTAATCATATGAGATTTAGTTTTATTCGTCTTAGTCTTTTGCCTAGATGAGTACATTATTAAAATCAAACTTTTATAATATTTGCTAGGGAAAGATTAAAAATATTTGCAATAAAAAAATTGCATCCATATAGATAATTATTACTTAGTTTTTTTTTTTGTTTTTTATTTTTTATTTTTTTATTTTTAAGAGTTGATAATTATGGGTTATTTAAAATAATTTAAATTTTAATTATTCTCTATTCGTTATTTTTACATATGTGTCAAAATTCTTAAATATTATTCATCACTTTTGCTTAGGTGGCAAGTAAATTTTTTAATTCTAAAATAAATTATTAATCTAATTTTTCATTGGACAAAATAATACATTTTTTTATGTGGCGCGCCAAATACTCTCGAAAAATGCCTACTTTATTTATATATATTAGATTAACTAGAAGGAAGAATAGTTTACAATCCTAGATGACATGGCAAGCTAATCTATTTGAGTTGCTCTAAAAAGATTTAACTTTCTTAATTTTCTCCCTAATTCCAAATGAGGAAAAAACGAGGAAGTAGAGAATAATATATCCCAATTTACTTTTACTGGCACATAATTTAAGTGAAAATTTAATGTTTGATTATGGAAAATTATTAATTATTATTTTACTGAAAAACTAGGCCTGAAAGAAGATATCAAGATAGTGAAATATTATTTTATTGAAAAAATAATGAGATAAGATATAGTAGAGTACTTTTTTTTTTTTTTTAATGAATGTGACTGTGAGAGAGTGAAATTTTTTGGAACAAATGTAATACACGTACAACTTATTTTTCTCCTTAATGAATGTGAGAGTTTTTATAAATTTCCAACCATGAATTCACAATCTCAACCCCACTCTCAAATCCTCAAATTCTCATTCATACATAACAAATGCCCATAAAGACATAAAGTTGGTATAATGTTTTAATTTGGAAATGGGCTCAACTACAATCAGACTGAATGTCATAATTATAGTTTGGAAGCGGAAAGATGGTTCGTAGGGTTAGAAAATGACACACACTTTGATGGATGGCCCTTAAGTAATAAAGTGATAATTACTTGAAACCTGACTTGAAAACAAAGTTATCAAGATAAAACTAAGTATATTGAATTTCTTTACCACCAATAACCAATTAAAGAAGTAACTTTTCTCATATCTTAAAATAAAAAGAATAATTACAAATATTGGTGTGGCGATTCGGCCAATCAAAGGTAAATTAACATATTGTAACTGAGGTCTGAGGGAAGCAATGGTGTCAAAATACAATGAAGGCAATAGTATCAGACTATCAGACATGAAATCCAACAGAACAATAACACAACCATATCAGGGCAAAACACAGAAGTGTATAAATTATAAAATAAACATGTAAATATTTGCTTTGACACAACAGTGATAACACCCTGGATCAGCTCTTCCAAAAACCGAAAAAAGGAAACCGAAACTCATATACAAACTCAGTCAGAGAGAAATGGATAGAGGAAGAGGATATCACAACTAAAAGTTATTCGTTAATTATTGAGTGCTTAGCCAATGAATATATTGAACAAGATACAGGACATCATAAGAGAAATGGAGGTGATGTGATATTAATGAGCACTCACGAGGAATGGATGCTGACAAACCCCACACTCAATGGTTTCAGAACCGGAGGATGGTACTTGGACCTGTGTTGAAAAGGGAAGAGGATGCAATTTAATTAGGTCAGGGCTTCAGTTAAAATTTTCTGAAAGAAAAAGATGCAAATCTTACGAACAAACCTGCAAATGAACAGTGCATGTAGGACAAGCAACTTCTCTCATTCGCTTACCAGAACTTTCTAACTTTGTACCTGCAGACATTATTCTAAGTCAGTTTTACATTTTTTATGGAGCTAACCATTCTATCCCACTTTCATTTGATAACAATCCTGAAGCAAAATATTGATCATTATTTTTCCAAGCATTCATAAGCAAGAAAAAATGATTACCTGAGGAAATTCTCAGGTTCTTTTCCATTTCCTCCTGCAATAATCATAAAACGAGAAGGAAAAAAATTACATATATTAAAAGAAAATGACACAAACTACAATTAGATGAATGCTACTTTCAACAATTTAGAAAAAATAATAATAATAATCATTTGATGTTCACATACATACCCCACCTATATAATTACATATACGTATTAAAAAAATAATCATTTGATGTTCACATATAAGTAATTCCAATCTATATAATTTTTCATCTGTTATTTGTCGAAGATTCTCCTCAAAAGTCAGAACAATTACAGTCCCCTCACAAACCCTGCCTTTGGCCTTTCAAAACTAACAAAAGAAACAAGTTTGCTAAATGTGATGTCTTTAGAATGAACCCCACCTACACACACTAAGAAACCCAACAAAATTACTTATAAAACTAATCTACACCATTCCAAAACCCAAGCAAAGAAATGCAACCACGCCATGTGTCACCCCCTATTTACAGATGACATGGCGTCGCATCCCCAGCAACACAAGTTTAGTCCTCCCTTCACATTATAAAAAATGTCTATCGAGATTTTAAGCCCACACTCTCCCAATTGAAGAAAAAGCTACATGATAAATTAAAAAATAATATAATATATTACCTGAAGCTTCTTGGCAAGGTCTTCATGACTCTGCAAAGAGACTGGTCTGCTAGCTGCTTCCTTTGCCATACTAAGCCTCTGAGTGACATGTGCCTGAATCATGAGAAGAAATTATTACAATCCTAATCCTATGGTGTAGTATGGTGAACCTTTTTATATAATCAAACCTACTACACACAGCTTACTCTCACAAAATTATCCATAAATCAATGTTCATATTGGAGTAATACACAAGTGAACTTTAGATCATATCCTAGAAATCCATGGCAGTGAGCTATGAAGACATGATGTGTTGCATTCTACCACCGCTCATACATTACATTACCTGGACTTATCTTCCACAGCAAAATGCTGGTGTCTGTCTGTAAATTTTAAGACACAAGTTTATATTGATTTAGACCAGTAACTTATTTTTTCACAAATATAAAAAAGGCAGGTTCCACCTTGAAAAGCCTAGTACATGCCAACAAGACTAAGAAACAATATTGAATGCCCAAATCACACATAGCCATGCAAAGAACTTATAATACTCAGAATTTCACAAGAAAGATCTTTTAACATTACAGAATGGTTTCCAACCACATCAACCCCACCCACCCCCCCCCCCACCCCCAAAAAAAAAAGGGGGGGTTGGGGGGGGGGGGAATAGCAAGTTCCTTTCAACCATTAACTGCAAAGTAGATCCTCAAGCAACTTACATGAACAGTAAAAGTCCAGGTGAACAAAATAAGTAACGTGATCAAAAGACATGAAAAGAAGATAAACCAAGAACAGGACAAGCAATCATTACAAATTCCTACCAAAACATAACTTGCAAGTATCAGGGAATAGTCCAAATACACCAATAAAATGCATACCATGCATCGATCACACACACGAACTGCTTGAGCATTGTCTTCCAAATTGAGGGGAGTTCTACCCTGAGTACATTTGTCACAGAATACATCTCCACAATTTCGACAGTGATGCTAGACAAGAAAACCACAAGTCAGTCAAAATCCACCATTTTATTTTCAACTAATAGGCATGCCAAGTAATAGAAGAAACCACAATCCTCAAAAATTGGTAAATAACATACCCTACGATTGAAGGCACTAAAATCTCCTCCACATCCTGTGCACTTGGATACAGCTTCATCAGGAACCTAACATAACGTGCAAATAAACAACTATAAGATAAAAGACCTCTCAAAATAAACAATAAACAAATATAGTATATATTAATACAAAAGGAATAAGGAGCCAGCAATGCTACCATTGCCTTTTGCTTTTACCATTTTACAATTTATTCATCCATTAAAAATACGTTGACCAAGCAACAACCTTACTAGCAAGTATATACCAGCATGCCACAATATCATACAGAAAAATCAGCACACATTTCAAGAGGGGGTCCGATTGCAATACAACAAAGCCTGGCCACATAAAATGGCAAGAATAAGTGACAGAATATAAGTAGACTTTAACATACATCATGCCATCATAACTACTACTCCATTATATTAATATCTACTTAGTACAAAGGAATCAATTAAATTAAATAAATATTGAAAGCACCAGTATTTTTTCATTTAAGAATAAGTATCCAAATTAAAATGCTCATAATTACTTTCTGACTGAAAGCCCTCCAGCAACAGATAAGTCATGAAAAATAAGGTGTACAGCATAATGGATAGCCATACTCTTTATCACTTCACATGTACACTACATCCCAAATAAATATAAAGAAATAAATCAATAAATCATGTATATTCAACTATTCAAGAATATCCTGCCAACCATAACTTTTTGGCTAAAGCGTCACAAAGGACATAATTTCAGCTTAAACAGCAGCAGACACACCCTTCAGCATTTAAAAATAACAGATATTACAGTGATAAGAAAGACAGGGGAAATCATTACCCAATGATCTTTCTCTTCATTGACTGGTTTTAGCTTGTTCATCCAGTCAGCAAAACCTTTCTTCTTCTCTGCAGACTGATCCAGGGCTTTGGGTGGTTCAGAAGACCTGATCCTCCCACCCATCTCCTTGAACTGCAATCGAACACAGAAATATTCAAAAACACATACACCATCCTCAAAATAATACATAAATCATCAATTCATCACACCAATGTATAATCCTAAAGAAATAATATATGAATAGGTGCAACACAGCTTTGCAGGGAATCTGAGATATACTACCATACTAAACCACTATCCCCAATTCATCTAGAAGCTACAGCCTAAGGCAGGGTTCAGTAAATTATAAATGAAACTTCTATCAGCATCATCCCTAATAGTTGATCCTTGATTGGAATAGCCGAAAGATTTGAAGTCCTTTCTCCACGAAATAAAGGCAAGCCCATTCTAGCAACAACATCTTCTATCAAATGGAAAATTCAAACCATGACATTGGATAGTTCAATAATATTTATTTTTATAACTCAGTCTCTGAGTCTCACACTAGCAAAGAAAGATGGCTGCGCTTAGAGCAAGAACAACTACTAAAGACATGGAGTATGCAGCTAACATAAACATATCAATGTGGAATGAGAAAATTAATTGTTGAGGCTGATCTTTAACACCAAAATTTCCTGACTAAACTTATCTAAAACCTGGCGTTCCTTAATCTAGCTCCAAAAAAAGTTTTCAAAACCAAGGTGTGAATGCAAAATCTAAAAACCACGGTCAATTCTTAATCAGGAGCCTTGCCTCATGACAATCGAAGTAACCAGCTACATCCTATCATCTTCATTTTCTCTCATTGTGCACGCAACCACTCAAGTCTTTGACTCTATGTTGCCACCATGTGTGTCAATGGAGTGTAAAGATGGTCAAAATTAGAAGGAAGAAAGTAATTTTCAAAATCATTTGGTCTACTATATACAATTGACACAATTAAAGAAGTACCATATACTTTTTCCCTTAAAATTTTGTATCATAGTGCAAATATTAAAATAGAATGAGCGATAATCCAGCAAGCAAAGTTGACAAGGTCAACTGGTTTAATGATTTGAAGGTTTTACAATTTCCTCTACAAGGAGGTAGCATTATACTAGCTTTTCTATTCATAAGAAACTTGCTTCTTTTAGTCAGGATTAAGCCTATTCAACAGGATGGACCCCAATTGCATCCCTGGTCTAAATGGATTATAACCAAGTCAGACCTAATCCACTATGTTAATGGGGCAAGCCCTAACCAGATCAAAACTTCATAATTTATAAGGGTGCAAAGGCTATTAATAGGTCAATCCTCCCCCTGTCAGGCTGTCACCCTTCAAGCAAACTAACAACTGACCCGAGTAATGCTCCAGATTGTTGTGTCACACATTCTCTCTAGAGAGAAAACAACTACTAATGAGCTTGAAACCATAATAAACGTTCGGATATGTTGGATGGTCCTGAGAAGTATCTCCCTGGGCAAGAAAAAAATCTCTTGGAAGGAAATCAATAAAGATCAAAAGTCAACCACCAAGCACTGACGTGCCCAAGTTCTCAAAATTTCAGGGATCAAAAGTAAGAAAGAGATAAGAGATCAATTTCAGAGATTCATAAGGTCTTAGATCTTTTTTTCCTTAAGGGTTTGAGGTGAGAGAATGGAAAGCAACTCTGAAGAGCTTTTACCATTGTATATGCCCTATATCACACAAAGTTGCACATATGATGATGGGAGCCTAGTGGTCAGCTTTCCCACCCCTTTGTACAAATTTTCAGTGGAAAACCACGAGAACACAAACTTTCATTACAATATCTTCTCATTTTCCATGTCCCCTTCCACTTCCCATGGTTAAGGATGTGCCGATGTGGGCTGACGAGTAATTTCACCTAACATAGGAAGCTTCACTTTCACATGCTCTTATCTTCGGAAAGTTACGTCTCAAAATCAAGCATAGGCACTAATAAATCTCTAAAATTTAGGATAGACTGAATTTTGCCACTTTAAAGCTACTTTCAAGTGAGTTTCAACCTTCATTTTATCTTACATGCTCATATCACTCAAACAAGGGTATGTAAAAATAAGTGAAAAGAACATAATGCTATGTTATATATGCTCACAAATACAATTTAAAAGATAATTTCAACAAGAACTTACAAACTCCTCAAAATATTAATGCATTTGTAACATAAAAGACAGATGCAAAAGTCTTTCAGTCAGGAAGTATGTTTCATGGATTTTGTGTATCCACTCCTTACATTCAAAATTATGTACAATGATGTGTCTTGACACTAGGATAAATATTTATACCTGAAGCTTGTACCCAAATCTAAGTAACATAACTTAAAAGAAGGGGGGAAGGGATGAATATACATATTGCTTAGGGAAACAAACCTGCACAGTAGCAGCTGTCACTGTGTCCAAAAGTGTATTCGTAGTATAGCTATTGGACTGCAGTCTAATACGTCTAGGCTCAATATCAACAGGAGCCTTAGACCAGAATGCAAATGTAGATGAATCATATTTCTACACATGAAAACAAAACAGACAATACAATTGAGTTCATAAACAATTACATAATAAATATGGAAATTTTGAGTTTCACTCAGCTTACATCACATCTTGTCACAGTCTCAAGTGGATATATCCTCAAAGTACGACTCGTGTTAGGATCAAGCATTCGTATCCCATCCAAGCCAACCTGAGAATGGAAGCAACAAAATCTAATATAATTACTCCATAACAAGCCAAAAGCAAGAGTCCACCACAAGTACAAGCACAAGACACAAAAATCAATCAGATGGATTTGTTATAAGGCAGGTGTGTGTGTGTGTGTGTGTGTGTGTGTGTGTGTGTGTGTGTGTGTGTGTGTGAGTGTGTGTGTGTGTGTGAGAGAGAGAGAGAGAGAGAGGTACTTTTGGTATCCACAGGCAACTTTCAAAAGATTATAAGAAACATGATGTTTACTAATATAATTATCAATTATATGCCCTACAAAATGATAAATATCATAAGAAAATACTGAAAAGGCAAACGAATAAGTTTTATCACCATCCAAAGAGGCACACATCTGTCTTCTATACACCAATTTTTCCATAGTAAATTTAACCTTTATCACCAATATTGTGCCTTGAGCTTTTTAAAACGTTGGGTAAGAGTAGGGTAAGTTACTTACAATAATGCATCAAGAATGAGTTGGGGCCTGCCTGAGGCCTGAGGGTACAAAAGGATTCAAATGAGTGCTTTTTTGTTTTTATTTTTTAATAGATTTTTTTGTGCTATGGCTGAAAAAACCTGTAATATTTGTATGCCTTGATTGAAATAATGCATCATTTGCAAGGCCAGTATTTATTCATCTCTTTTGTTTGAGAGAATTAGCCCCACCCTTATGCCATATTATAATTTCCATAGCTTAAACCTCCATTCTTGAAAGAGTATAGAGGATTAGTAAAAGGTTTAAAGACACCAATATGATGAAAGGAGAGATGGAGTGAGATGGAATAAGGTCTCAAGTTATGAGGTGAGAAATAGAGAAAAATCTTGACCACATAAGGAATGTTGAATTAAATCCCATGTCGTACAAAAACTAAATTGGAAAGTGTTACATTCTTACAAGAATAAGCATATTGTAACTGTCTAATACCCACTTAGAAAATAAAGTGTTTCACAAAGCATATAGATTTATCAGCCATATTGACAAGAATGGCAACCCATACGCCATTTAATATAGCAAGCCCTAGTTTCTCACCAACAAGATGGCAAGGCTCCAACTTTACACGCACTTCTAGAGTGCCACTTTGGAAAAATATGCACAACCCATTCTACACATCAGATTACAGTGAGAGCGCATCTTTCTGGAACTTTAACCAAGAAAAAAAAAATCAAGTAATTTGAGGGTTTTTCAAGATTTAAAATGCCAAATAATCCAAAATTCTTCTAAAGATCAACCAAAGTATCCTCTCCAAACATGATTGTTAGGGTTTGTTTGGCATTGTTTTTTGTTTTCAATTTTCTACTTTTAAAACAAAAAAACCAAAAAAAGGAAACAAGAAAAAGATGTTTTCACTTTTTTGTTGTCGGTTTTAAAAGTTATCATGATTTTATAAGTTTGATTAATTTTTGATTCATTATATGACATACTACCTCTGTTACATATTATTTCAACGATTAGATAGTTTTCCTCTCTACTTTATGTCAAATTGTTGCAAATAATATGAAACGGATGTAGTATATCATATAATTCGAAAAACAAAAAACCCAAAAAAAAAAAATAGTGATACCAAACGAACCCTAAACTTCTCACCAAGATTTTTTTATTTCCTGGACCAAGAGTACATTTCATGAGATGCAATAGAAGCTACACATAGCATTCCAGCACTACTCATTACCTCATATAGATCTCAATCAACCATCATTACTATTGTCTTACAAGCATTTTGGAAAAAACTGAAGAAAGTTTGACCATCAACAAAATTCATGTTTCCTAGTTTCCACTAGCATACATAGTTGATATTCACTGCAATAGCAGGCTATGTTGAACAAACAAAGGTCTTCCACAATTTACTTCGTAAAGCATTTAACAACAAATTCAATCAAGTAACCACAAACTAGTGAACTACTAAGGAAGCTAACATAGTTTCACTCATTCCCTGTCAATCTGTCATACCAGTCAAAATTTATAACATTCCTTTCTCTTCTAGACACTTCAATCAAACTAACAGCTCACCTTACCACCAGTCCATTGTTTCCTACAAACCACAATCAACTAAACTTAGTTCCCTAGACAACTCACTCAAAAGTCAAAACCCACTAAAAATATGAATTCAAGACCATCATCATGTTCAAAGAATTTCTAATCAGAATAACTTTTACTACTTGTATTATAATACATTGTTCTAGAATTAAGCAAGGGATGATAAATTTAAGCTCATAGAGTTTACACAGACACCAAATCCAATAAATACAACAGCAACAACATTGACATTAACAGAAAAAAATGCATAAACAACAGCAAGAAATAGCATACCATACAGAGAACATCCATGACACTCTGACCACCACTTTCAGGCAAGAGCTTGACCCTGAACTTCTGAACTCCCCCCTTAGAATCAGAATTCGACTCCGCCTTCGGCACCGCCCTAACAACCTTCAAAGAGCTAGGCTTTTCCTTCTCCTTCTTTGAGGAACCTGAAGGGAAGGTAATAGCCCTCCCATAATCATCAAACAACCCAGACCAATTAGACGATTTCGACCCGGTCCCTCGAGCACCATATGGCTCCGATTTCCCCTGATAAGCATATGCCCCATCATCCTTATAATCATACCCACCTCCCGAATTAGACCTACTTCCCCCAAAACTCCCATACCCACTTAAATTCTCATCATAATACCCTGCCCCATAATCAAATTTCGCAGTATTATCATACGATTTCTCATAATAACTAGAATTAGCGTTTAAATTAGTGGGGTTAGGGTAATTTTGAGGCGGAGGAGGAGGGGGGTTAGGGTAATTTTGAGGGGAAGCTGATTGATGAGGATCATAGGGTGGATAATACGGCGTCGTAGACGGAGGATACTGCAATTGGGCCGGCGGAGGAGGCGGAGGAGGGTAAGGCCCATATGATTCAGGCCCAACAGAAGGCGTCGGCGTCGGCGGCGGTGGAGGAGCGTAGTGGGGTTGAGGAGGAGGAGCAGTAGGATCGGAAGAATGAGGAAAAGAAGGGTAATTCTGGGAATAAGAGGAGGAGTAATCGGCGGCGGAGTAAGAGTTGGGGGCGGAGAAAGGTGGTGCAGAGGCGTAGGACGGTGGTTGAGGGGGCGGAGGAGAAGGGAGAGAGAGATCAGGGGCGGCGTAGTATTGTGATGGAGGGGGTGGTGGTTGGTGGTGTTGGTGTTGGTGTTGTGGTGGGTGAGGGTAGTAAGAAGGAGGGTTGAAATCGCCGGCTTGCTGCATTGCCGGAGATGGGGTTGATTGGGGAGTTCCGGCGGTGTTGATGAGGGAGAAAGTGGAGGAGAGAGAAAGTTTGAGAAATTGTCAGCGAGGATGACAAAGGTAAAGGTAACGAGTGTGCGTAATTTTCTACTTTTGTGTGGGTCCCTTGTTCAGGTTTATCATAGAGTTGTTAAGTTTCCAAGCAACAACCAAGGTGTTGGCAAGTTTTTTTTTTTTTTTTTTTTTTTTTTTTTGGTGGAAGATCGGCTAAAGATTTAATTATTTTTGATAAATTTTCCTAATATAAAAACAAAGCAATAAACTTTTTTTTTTATAGTTAAATCCTACCCTAGTTCGGAATCCATCACTTATTATATATAGGCATATAGATATAACATTAACTTGCTTGTGAAAGTATTCCTAATCTCCTCCCTAAAAAACTATTCAAAAAAAAAAAAAATATCTCCTCCCTAAAAAAATTACAAGAAGATGATGAACAGCTCAATCATGGAAGAGTCAGTGATGAACGGCTCAGGCTCATCAAAATCGAACGGTGGCCACCCGTCAAACGGCAACCCTGTACATCTCTCCTATCGCTATGATATACGTAATTCATCTCTTGGTTATGATATACTATCATAACCCAGTATTAAATTTTCAAATCTATTTTAATTTGCAGAAAACCCTAATTCGTTTATTTATTAAGTATTTTTTTTAATATAAATATTGAACGGCAACCCTGTAATTTACTGCTTTTCAGTTATTATTTTTTTTAAAATACAAGCAGTAATTTTTTCAAGTTTGAATTTTTAAGATAATAATAATAACAAAGTTTTACAAAAGTACATGTAGTAAAATCTGAAGTGTGGTATTTAAAAGGTACAGTAGTGGTAAAACTATAAAAGTAATTCAAATTTGGTTTTGTTTGGTGTGAGCCTGTAACAGGTGTGATTGATATTATGGAAGAGCGGTCATGCCCTACGCCTACGGATGATGATGATGATGATGACGACGCTGATGCTGATCTTGAGTTGGAGGAAGTCGAGAAACCCTTGTCGATTATACGTAGACATGAGACGGATGTAGGGTTTTTCAATATCGATGGACCAAGTGAGTCGACGAAGCTAATTCCAGTGACAATTGAAGGGTTCACATACGCAAAAGTGGACGAGAAAACACTAAGGGGGCGTTTGGTTCGCAAACAGGTATGGGGTTGGAATCAGGAATGAAACCATAGTGGTATGGGTTTGGAACTTGATTCTTAATACCATATGTTTGGTATAATCATGAAATGCAATGTTTTTATTTTATTTAAGCCTAAATGTATCGGAATGAGCCAAACCCATCTCCCCCCAAGGTTTCTAAACCCCATACCTTGGGGGTTTGAGGTATGGGTTTGAAACTCATAAAATCATAAAACAAACATAAGGTATGAGTTTAAACCATTCTAAACCCATACCTTATACCTTAATTATGTGAACCAAACACCCCCTAAGAGAATCAAAAAGCTTAGACGTCGAAAATTCGTCTACAAAGATGTTGGTGGACGAATTACCACGGCTAGAACATATGGACATTGCACCAATTGAGGATGAGCTAAATTGGAAGCCTTGCTACTGTTATAGCAACAGTTGTACAAGAACGATTGTGTCGAGGGTGATTAACAAAGGGGTTTTAGGGTTGGTTTTCTTGTCATCTACTGTCACAATTTCTCAAGTAATGGAAAGAGTTGCGGAGAAGCTTGGCCTTACGCTCAACACATTTCAACTCAAGGTTATTGATTTTACTACTAGGCCGTGTTGCTGAAGCCTCGTCACCTTTTTAGTTGTTTATGTCTAATGTCATTGTTATAATGTTATTTAGTTGGACTATCTTTATTTTAAACATTCACCAATGTTAATTGCTTTCTTTAAGTGTTATTTAATATTCGGAGTTTTTCATATTCCTTACATTATTATTCTTTATTTATGTTGTATTAACAAAACAAAAGTTAGGACGATTTGGTTATGAGCAGGCGGTTAATCTTATTGAACAATCAAGCCTTCATTCTCTCTTTGTACCACTCTATTACGAATATATTTTCCAAATATTTGATAGAGTTTATTTTGGTAAATATGTTTATCTTTGTGATTGTTTTGGTAAATATGTTTATCTTTATCATTCGAAAGGAACAGTAACTTCCCGATTTTGCCCCCCCCCCCTTTTTTTTCGAAATTGCCCTTCTGCTTTTGGCTCTTTCTTTTCCCCCCTTTTTCTGCTTGCCATTACCTTCCGTTTTCCTTTGAACTGAACCCCTTCTCACTCCATATTTCCTTTATCTCATTCTCCTCCATTGAAGGAACTTTTATGCTTTCCTCTCCATTATCGATGCAGCTCGCGAGGTAATTTGTTTTTCAATAATTTCTTGAATAGGTGCGTTAATTAGGGTAATAATGTGAGATTAATTAGGTCTAGAATTGGGTTATTTTTGCCTTGCATGCGTACAATAATCCGAATAATTTCTTTGTATTCGGTTTTGTGTGTTTTGATTTTCTCTGAAGGTTGAGGAATATGAAAAGGTTGAGGAAGAAGTAAAGGAAGAAGTAACGAATGATGAAAATGATACAATAGTGGCGGAAAAAAAGGTTCGAACTCGGGTAAAGAGGATGCGAATTTTGCGAAACAAGAACAATTCAACCTCGGACGAGTTGACTGATGGGTGACTCGGACAATGACTCGAGAAGACAGTCGAACAACTTCACAGGACCGGATCCATGGTCTCCATTCTCAATGTCTAGATTCCATCTTTCACCTTTTTGTGTGATTTTTTGTTTGGATTTATGTTTATTTAGTCCTGATTTCCTCTCTATTCGTTTCAAAAAACATTCTAATTAGTTGTTTAATCTGCATGCAAATACCTGTTTCTGGGTTTTGATTTGGAATTACGGGTTGTTGTAGGGTGAGGCGTGTATGAATGCTCAAGCAATCAAGAAATTTGTGGAGAAGAATAAAAAATCGGCGGCTAAATGTGTGAATTTAGCGTTTCAGTGTTCGATTATTCATGCCCTTTCAAATGTGAGATGCATTGATTTGGAATTACGGGTTGTTGTAGGGTGAGACGTGTATTAGTGTTCGATTACTACATGCATCAATAACCAGGAGAACATTTGCCATTGAGCCCAAGCTCTACAACGGTTTTATCAGTTGGAGGAACAGGTTAAAAGAGAAATACCTTTAAAGTTTTACCTCATCTTGTAAGTGTTTGTGAATTTTTCAGTGTGTTTTTTTAATCCTGGTGAACTGGAATTTGGTACTTAATAACTTCAGTTTTGGCTTTAATCTTGTTGGGTTGTTGGCGGATAGAAAGCCATCTCTTACAGCAATTAATATGAAGAAAGTTATTGTAAAGCTGCTCTGAGGCATCATCCTAATAAGGTTTGAGCCTTCGCATTGCTGTTTCAGTTGTCATATTTGTATTGCTTGCAATTAACATGAAATTTGCTTATACAGACTCGTCAGTTATTGCAAGAGCCGAAAGTGGAGATGATGGCCTCTGGAATTGCTTAGCTTTGTATAACCAAGGGTTTGCTTAGCTTTGTATATTTACTTACTTATTTTTCCTGTTTTCATGTACAATAAGCTTTTATTCGTTTGGGTTTGCCAACCTTTTGCTTTTGTTTTATGGGTCTTGCTTATTTTCAAAAAATATTATGTTCTCATTTGTGCTATGATATGATGAATAGAGATTAATAATTTTTTTATCGAGATTATGTTTAGTTTCCGCAATATATTTGTGAATGTTGGTTCGATTGGAAAAACTGAAAAATGTTTTTCTTATCTTTTCTTTTCCCATAATTTAACTTGTACATCTTCTTGTTTGCGCTTTCCAGCCTGGTTTCAAGGCAGTAGAGAACAGGAATGAGGTTTTGATAACTAGAAATTATATTGAAAAAGACTAGGAATACCCCTGCACAAATTCTTGCAGTATTGCTGAGAGAAAAGTGAGTTTTTGATGAACTCTTATCGTGCTGCTAGAGATGAAGGCAGGGGTGAACCTGATTTGTTAACCTGTGATCAACCTTCAAAGTTTGTGATGCGTAAATCTTAATTTCAAGTTTTATGCAGCTCTTTTCTTGACTTTATTAAGATGGTCTTATGTGAGTTCACTGGGACTATTGCTTGTTGAATGTTATTCTCAGATTCTCTTACTACACAGCCGGTACTGGAGGTGCTGGTCCAACAGTATTGTCGACAAGCTTTTTACTTCTCGGAGAAGAGGTTATTGCCTACAACTAAGGTTACTTTCTTCCATTTTGTTACCCTATTTTGTTTTACTTGGTTACTTAATTATTAGCATTCATCAAAGGTGGTTAGAACTTCTAAAATTATAAAGATTAAGAGAAATGTGGGTATATTCAGAATTTCTAAAATTATAAATGAATTGATAGTAGAGACATAAGGGTTTCTTCACTATTTCTGTAATGGTTAGAATCAATGGCCCTGTAAGTTCTCTCTCCTTTCACTCTCATCAATTCTATGAATTTATTGATTTTTTGATATATTTGGTGCTGAATTTCTCCCTTTTATAGGATCCAAAAGGTCTAAAGATGAGAAATCATGCATTTCATCAATACCAGTAAGTTCCAACCTTCAGAATGTAGAGAAATTAAATGCAAAAGTGTTATTTTGGAATGAATTTGATTTTTAAGTATTTATTATTGTAGAATTATTATCGTTATTGTCAATATATAGTATGAATTTTAGTTAGGAGATAACAATATTCAAAATTTTAGTTTATATTATATTGCTATAGTATGAATTTTTTGTTCGTATTAATCATAATGCAGCTTCTCATGAAGGAAAATTAGTCATTGTTAGGTAACCGACGATATTGTGAAGTCTTTATCACTAAACAGTTATCAGAATTTATAGCATGGTGATACATAAGATAGTTTTGCCTCACTTTAAGTAGTAGTTTTTGTTGTGTACTCTGATCATTCATTTTTTCCCATCATTATAATTTGATCATCCAGAATTCCCTTTTGACAGACTATATGAGTGATTTTATTGATATTTATAGTGAGTAATTTTATGTGATATTTGGAGCCTTATGATAATTAAATCAACTAAGAGTCATATACTGTACTAAAATCATTTAAAATGCAGATTTCTGATTGTATCAGAATTAAAGGCGTGGTTTTTATCATCAGTGACACACAGATTAGTGGGGGCAATAAATTTTAAAAGACTAAGAAAATACAGCAATTTGCATTGATCTCTAAAACATACTTGCATTGTCTTCCATTTTTTCAATCCTTCTGTGTGTATCTTGCTGTGGTTAATAGTAATGATGTGATGATGTATTGCGTCAATGATCAGTACTTGAGCTAATCAATCCTTTACTATTTGCAGTAACAATGTAGCTTGGCACAATGCTATGTCTCAAACTCAGAAGGCTTCAGGGAAAGACTGTTAGAATTGCACTAATTATTGATCTGAACAAGATTAGGGCAGCATGGAGTAACATTGATGGAAGAGAGCACATGGAGAATCTGCTTCTGTTGAAAGGTATAAAAAAATTAGTGTTAGCTCAGAATGACTACCATACACTTGCCACTTGGTTACAGGAAACTAGAAACTAGCTGACTGTCATTTGTTCACCTCTACATCTATGGTGTACCTGCAGGTTCTGTGAATCTGTGGTGTTTATAGTTGAGGGCTATCATTCACTGCCATTCAGCCCCTTACTATCCTCTTTCGAAAGATATTGTTATACAATGACAACATCATGCACACAGGGTTTTCCTTATAAATATCGAGGTTGATTGATATAGTATTATTGTTGTTTTAAAGTCTTGAATGCCACATTTTGAAAAGATATATGGTAACCTCTGTATAAATTGAGTTGTATTCTTGAATGAGCTGACATGACAATATATGAACTAACTGTTCAGTTGTACTTAACAAAGTTACGATAAGTGATTTAAACATAGTGAATTATATTGGAAGCGCTTTGAATTATACTATAGAATTGCCGTAAAAAGATAAAAAGCCTTTTAGTTAGTTAACAACATTATTTACTTAAGGAATGCAATGTTGTTATTACATGTAGTGATTTTTTTTTAACTAATACATATAGTGATTAAGAAAGACAACTGCAATTAGACTTATTAACAATTAATTTGGCCAAACTGAAGAACAGCTCTGAATGAAGCATTAAGCTAATTCAAAAAACTGGAAAAGCAGCTTATATTGATGTCTTGGTGTGTCTCACATATGGCAGGCGTTCTGTGCACAACTAGCTAAAGATTCTATCAGCTATTCATGAAGCAGCTTAACTAATTATATAGTCAGTCCTGAATTCCAAAAATTCATTTTATTCAATAATTAATTTCTTATAAATCTTGTTTTGGGTTGGGTTATCCGATTTTGTTTCAGTGGGATATGGTAAATAGGTTGTATCTTGAATTATTTGGTTAGAGTTGTTTGAAGTATAGCTTTACAGTTTCATTTACTGTGTTCAATGGATAAAATTTATTCAAAGGTCTTATGGCAGTATGCTGTGTCTCAGTTGCATCCAGGCGCTCTTTATCTTTTAGGTGGTGCGCACCTATCAGGGGACTGTGTGAGGCAAGACATGGGCTCTGCTATGTGGTGTTTTCACAGAGCAACAGAGAAGGTAAGTGAAGCTGATTTTGATGCTCATATCTATTTGGAAGTGGAAATATGGTGCTTAGAGAACTAGAGTTGCTGCAGTAAGTATATTAGTAAATATGCCAAGTCATATCAGAGAAATTTATTGAGTTTAATTGAGAAGTTAGTGGTAAGCATCTGTGTTGGTAGCAGTTTCTTATGCAAATATTTTTAGATGTCTGTAATTGTTTCAGTTTTTAAGTTAAAAGATGGTTTTGCTTTTGAACTGTTCATTCCTGCTAACAGTCAAAGTTGATCTCATAGGAGCTTCCTTAATGTTTCTGCGTGCTTCAATAATGGAGAGGAAAGCATAAAAGTTCCTTCAATGGAGGAGAATGAGATAAAGGAAAGATGGAGTGAGAAGTTTCGGTTCAAAGGAAAGAGAAAGGTAATGGCAAGCAGAAAAGGGGGAAAAAGAAAGAGTCGACACGTGCTACAGCGACCAATAACCATACCATCCATAACCTTTGTTTTTGATGGCATGGACTTGACATTGGACCAAGACAACTTCCTACTCCGTAGTACTTCCACCAGCATCGCATGCCTCGCAATGGCGGCTGCCCCGAAAAACCCCAACTCTGCCCTCAATATCATTGCCAACATGCAGCAACAGAACCACAGGGTTGTCTATGATGTCCCTAACAAAAGGATTGACATTTCTCGTGAAACTTGTAGTTAGAATTTTTAATTTTTTGTTAAGGATGTTGGGAGTGTTAAGTTAAAGCTTGTTCATTCCCTGAGATAAAACATAATGTATTAGTATAAGTGATGTTATAAATTATGTCTTGAAGTAATCCTTTTTTAACTAAGATAGTCCATTATTTGAAAAGTGGCAATTTCGTTAATTAATAAAGGGATAGTTTACAAAATAGTACTGAAACAATCAGAGGAATGCAAAAGAAAATGAAGGGGATTTGTTTTATCACTACTTTTGTGTTTGATCTTGTCACGGGTTCTTGTTCATCTGTGTGAATTAAGCAGACGATAATAATATGTGCCTCTGCTATAATTTATCATTGTTTAAACGCGTTAGCAAGGTTAATCGTTTCATAAAGGAAACATTTTTCTAAAAATCATCATACTGTAAATTTGCTAAGCATTGATGAAAAAAGCCTTTTTTTTCACTCTGATCATGTATTTTGATCTTTGTGTACAAGCAAAATGATTTTTAAAGTAGTAAATTAGTATTTAAAGAGTATCGCTGAGTCAATAGACAAAGTATCAAAGACGTCGTCGGCTAATGATTTTGATTTTAAGAATTCGTTATGTTAATATTCTTAAGTGAAGAATTTATTGTAACATATTTGCTAATAACACTAATTAATTACACGAAATAGTACATTATTGAGCTACCTTTAACAAATTGGGTATGGAATATGGATCCATATGATGAAAATGCATTTGATCTTGGCTTTGTTTTTAGTTTAGAATATAGATCCACATGTGAAAATGCATCTTGGGTTTAATTTTGCATTATCGCATGTTTTAATTTTAGTACATCAATTTAGGGGTCTTCTTTGGCCGAATATTGAAATATTTGTTATATTTACTATAGTTATAATTGTATTTATGTGATAATCGGGTTACTTAAGAAAATCGGGTCAATTTGCTTTGGAGGGAGAAACCAATTAAGAAAAATAACATAAAAAGATCAAAACAATTAGCTTAGAAGAGAGAGAGAGAGAACCACTTAAGAACATCAAGGCAATTAGAATTAAAAAAACAATTGGCTTAGGAAAATGTTTCCTAACATAGTAACATGAGAATGTGTATGTGTGTGTGAGAGAGAAAGATATTACTTAAGAAAATCAAAAGAATTAACCACTTAAGAGAGAAAGAAAGTGAAAGAGAGAGATCACATACAAATGATCACTTGAGAGAGAGAGAGAGACTACTTAGTAAAGATCATTGGAGAGAGACTACTTTAAAAAGACTACCTAACAAAAAAAAAGGAGACTACTTAAGTATATCAGTTAATAAATTAAGAGAAATTAGCTTTGAAAAAAGAGTTACGGAAATATTAGAAAGTAAGAGAGACCACTTGATTAAGATCACTTTAGAATTAAAAACGCTTTAAAATAAAGGAAATTGCTCAAGAAAAGAGATCACTTGTAAAAAGTCACTTAAGAAAATCAAGAGACCACCTAAGAAAAGTCACTTAAGAAGAAAAACCACTTAAGAAAATCAAGAGACCACTTAACAAAATCTGGGCAATTAGCTTATAAGATAAATTAAGGCAATTAGCTTAGGAAATGAAGAGAAAGAAAGAGTGAATGGGAGAGACTGCTTAAGAAAGATCGCATAAGAAAATTAGGGCAATTAGCTTAGAAGAGCACAATTATCTTAAGTAAAAGGCTTACTAAAATGTGAGAGAGAAAGAGAGATAACACAATAAAGATCACTTAAGAAAATTATAGCAACTATCTTAATAAAATAATTAAAGAAAAAGACTGAGAGGTCACTTAAGAAAAATCACTTATTAATATAGGATCAATTGGCTTTTGAGAGATGAGAGACCAATTAAGAAAGATCACATACAAAAAAAAAAAGGGGGCAATTAGCTTGAAATAGAGAGGTAAATATCAATTAAGAAAATCAGAACAATAACCTTAGGAAAAAACAATTATCTTAGTAAAAGGCTTACGCTGAAATGCGAGAGAGAGGGGGAAGAGAGATAGAGAGACTACTAAGAAAGTCAGGGCAATCAGCTTAGAAAATCGCAATTAACTTAGGGGGAGAGAGAGAGCACTAATTAGCTTAGCTTAGCTAGGAAAAATCACTAGAGAGAGATAGATAGAGAGAGAGAGAAAGAGAGAGCACTAATTAGTTTAGCTAACTACATTTTCTTAAGCTAAGTTATTTTTAAGAGAGGTAGAGGTAGAGGTAGAGAGAGAGAGAGAGAGAGAGAGAGAGAGAGAGAGAGAGAGAGAGAGAGAGAGAGAGAGAGAGAGAGAGAGAGAGAGAGAGCACACTTAGAAAATATAATTTGAGAGAAATCAATTAAGAAAGATCATTTAATAAAAATAGCGATACCACTTAAGAAATATCACTTAGAAAATATAAGAGAAATTAGCTGAGCAAAAAGAGTCACTATATCCTAGAGAGAGAGAGAGAGAGAGAGAGAGAGAGAGAGAGAGAGAGAGAGAGAGAGAGAGAGAGAGAGAGAGAGAGAGAGAGAGAGAGAGAGAGAGAGAGAGAGAGAGAGAGAGAGAGAGAGAGAGAGATACCACTTGATAAAGATCACTTAAGAAGAAAGACTATTAAAGAAGAAAGAAAGATCACCTAGAAAGATAAATTAAGAAAAAGAACAATTAAGGAAAACACTTGATAAAAAAGGTAACTTAAGAAAAGAAAAATCCCCTAAGAAAAGCAAGAGACCACTTAAGAAAAATAACTTTAGAAGATCAAGGCAATGAGGGCAATTAGCTTAAAATAGGGAGAAAGTGAGGAAGAGTGATAAGTCTATTTTATATATATTTTTATTCCCTGTCTCATAGTCATATTTGTGCTTATTTGAGTTCTACGGAGCTATTTTTATTACTAATATACGTTTTCTAGTGTTTTTGTAGAGTTGGTATTATTTTGTAGGAATTTGCATAATTATGACAATTTCAGAGCTTATTGAACCACTACAAATATATTAGAGACGGAGCAATTTTATGACCGTATATTTTAAGCCCAAGGCCGAGTTAGAGAAATTTAATTCGGTAATTAAGGACTTGATACGAAAGAAGACCCTAGATTTTATAAGTTATTATATCACGACGGACCAAACAAGTGAATGAATTTGGTCTAATGAACTCTAAAAGACCAAGTCCAAGAACAAAAGGGAGGTAGAGCTTTGAAGCCCAGCTCGCTGCCAGAAAGACGGGTCCGATCAGGCAAGGCCTGGCCCGCTCAGGCGGATTTCAGCGCATGTTACTTCAGCTATTGGGCTTCGTTGTTTAGGCTTCATTGTTTTGCTCTAAGTTCCCGCAGCTTTGGCTTTAAGTGGGAATTAGAAGAAGTTGACTTGTATTAAACTCCTATTTCTTTTCTTATTTAAGGGGGAGGAGTAGTAGTTTTACGGGGGAGATTTTCTTTAGTTAGCTTTTAATTACTAGTTTCTCTTAGTTTAGGGTTCGTTTGGCATCGCTATGGTTTTCTTTTTTTTGGTTTTTTGTTTTTTAAAAGTGTATTATATATGTCACATAATGACTCAAAAAATATATGGACTTATTATAATCATGATAATTTTGAAAACTGACAACAGAAAAGTGGAAACACCTTTTTCTTGTTTCCTATTTTTGGTTTTTGGTTTTCAAAAAAACAGAAAACTGAAAACCAAAAATGATGCCAAACAAGCCCTTAGTTTTAAGTTTTCATTAGTTTAGTTTTAGTTTTATTAATTAGTTTTTTGAGTTTTACTTAGTTTTCTTTTCTCTTTCCCTCTCCAACTTTTCCCTCTCTCTCCTCTTAATTAAACTCTTAGTATTACTTTTTCTCTTATTTCTCTCTCTAAACTCTTAATTTATGCAATTTTATATTTCTTTCTTTTGGTACTATTTCTTCTCTCCTTTATTACTTATTTTCTTTGCTTTGATCCTTATCATGTCTCCTTTAATTGCTTTGTTTAGTTTATATTTAATTATGTGTGAGTAGTTTTCTTTCTAGGGTTTATGGGGATCCATAAATAATATGAAGGGGTAATTTATTGTTGTTGATTGTCAATTCTAGATTAATTTCCTATTGATTGATTTAATGCTCTGTAACTAGATTAGGCCTGATCTTTTATGCATGAGTTTGACAATATTGATCCGAGATTCGAGAGATGAGAATTGATGTTTAGTTCTAGTTTCAATAGGCAGGTTAATTTATAAATGGTTAAGTCGAGAACCGAGAGATGAGATTTAATACCGGTAAATTAATTGTGTGATTGTAATACGTAGCGAAAGCCCTTTATGATCTGATTAATTTATGCATTCATGATTGATTATTATGTTTTACCCTGGAATATTATTTATTGGTGAACCTATGCCCTAGGTCTTTTATTCATTGATTTTCTTCCTATTTTTATTCTTTCCCACTTTTACTCTTAGTAGTTTAGTTATCCTTCGGTTACAATATTTTGGTTACTTAATAATTCAGATTATAACAACTAATTAGGAATAGAAAGACTTGTTTCCCTGTGGATTCGACCCTACTTCCCTATCTATTTTAGTTAGTGGTTTTAGGAATTACTTTTGATTAGGTGATACGACTTTAGCCTGTCAAAGAGACCACTTAAGAATGAAAGATCACATTAAGAAAAAAGTTCATTTAAGAAAATCAGGGAAATTATCTTAGGAAGCGGGGAGAGAGAGAGAGAGATAGACCACTTACCAATTATCACTTAAGAGAAAGAGAGACCACTTACGAAAGATCATTTGAGAGAGAGAGAGAGAGAGAGAGAGAGAGAGAGAGAGAGAGAGAGAGAGAGAGAGAGAGAGATCACTTAGAAAAGATCACTTAACAGTAAGAGAAAGGCCTAATAAATATCACATCTAAAAACCAGAGAAATTAGCTTAAGAACTTAACACTTTGTTTAAATTGAAGGAAATGGAGGGAAAAGAAGAAAATGGGAAATGAAGGGATGGATCATCATTCATTTGGATAACAAATGAGGTAGGAAGGGAATTATAGGAGAAATAAATGGAGAAATTAATTTATAAAAAATTTATCTCTCCAACAATAGAGAGATTTGGAAGGTAACACATCATTCTTCCCTCCCCTTCTCTTCCTTTCCCATCCTTTCCTCTCTTTCTCCTTTTTATCC